GTCTTCGCTCGTTCGGCAGCTCGGGTCGTGGGTTCGAATTCCACTTGATGTATACGTTTATTCAGCGTTTGTGTTGTCTTGTGTTTAGGTAGAGGCCTTGAGACAAGCTGATCAGTCGTGCAAGGAGTCCTACCGTCTGTAAAAAATTATTAAGAAAGGAATAAGAGGCCTGGGCCCTGAATGGGCAGGAAGAGCCATTGAAAAAAAAATACCAGAAATCCACAGCATTATTTTCTAACTTACAAACATGACGGGCAACACTTAATTCAACAAACATTTTCAAATGACATATTGAAACGGAACAGAGCAGTGTTTAGAAAAGAAATGTTTCGATTCTAGAATGGAAAGGGTTAAAAATATGCTTCTTTATTAGGTTACTTTAAATAATACAGTTCGACTGCAGAAGTTATATAGAGTCAAATGGGGTGATAAGAGAATCGCGATTGGTGAAAGTATAAGGAAACGGAAGAAATACCAAAGTAGTGGATAAATTTGCAGAAATTCGAATATACCACACGTCGAATTCAACTACAGAAAATTACGAAGATTGTAACCTGCTTCGCATGGACAACACAAGTTAAACTTAAGACCTTTTTGTTATCCTACCAGAGATTAGAGATGTAACTTTTCAGTCTTCTTGTCAGAAATTCTCTGAATATTTCGAAATACTACGGAAAGCCGAATTCTCCTGTAGACTTCTCTTCCGATATTTTGCTCTTAAGGCACTGTGACTTGAAAATCTGTTTTCATTAAGACGTGTTCCTGTATGTGGTTTCTCTTGTATATTGAGCAATGCAAATCTTACTTCTTCGTGGATCGGATTACGTCAGACAGTAAAAAGAATGTGCAATAAATATTTACTTTAAAGTACAATTATAAGTAAACCCAAGTAAACGCCAATCTTCTTGCATATTTTGTCCGTTCCAGGGGAATGGGACGAAGAATTTTGCACTCAGGAAATTTTAGTTTTCTTCTTTTCTTTTATAAATTTATTTGCTTCTTTCTTTCCTTTTTCTTCTTGAGATCCTACATTCAAATATTCTTCGCATTTCCCATTTGTAGCAGGAATGTCCAAACCAATTCCAAGAACCATAACGTACAAGCAAAAAGGAATATGAACAAACCGCTACTAGATAATACTGTATTATTTTAAGTCCTAGCGTCCAAATAGTTTCTCTTTGTTATATTTCAATCTATATCACCAGGAATGGAGAAAAGTTTTTGGAAACTACAGACTTCTATTCAATTTCCCAATTTTAGACAAATTTCACTGTATTTGACTCTGACTGCGCAGAATTGTGGGTTGATTGGGAAAGGCGAATGGAACTGAAGCGGAAAGAAGCGGTCGTCGCATTATTTTACGTGCCATACCGGAACTTTCCTAGACCAACTTGGGAAAACCATGAAAAACCTCGGGATTATCACGTCCGGGCCACTTTTCGAACCGGGGATCTTCAAATTGCAAGTCAGAAGAAGTAAAAATTCATCCTTTTTTTAATTCGCATAGTAGAGGGGGGGGGGGGTTGGAATCCAGCTGGGTCCACTCGGCACGACGGCCACTGATTGGCCTCTTGTACCTGACCCGGGTGATTATGATGATGGAAATTCGGCTGGAATGAAGATTGGCAAGGGAAACCGAAGTACTCGAGAAAATCTGCCCCATCAGCACTTTGTCCACCACAAATCCCACTTGAGAAGACCCCGGGCTCGAACCCGGACCGCCGCGGTGGAAAACCAGACACTAACCGCTTCAGCTATGGCGCGGCCTTTGATCCATCTTAATCCGCGATTTCATTAATTTGAATATTTTCATCTTTTGTAAATGATGTTTTTTCCTGCTTGAAGTGAAAGGAATGTAACATGTGGCCTCTTTTATTAACTTCGGATAATGACACTTCTCTGCTGGCAGTATAAACCAGCAATTAGTGCCGTGCCCTGTCTATACAGCTGTTCTCCCCGTAATGAAGGCGGCGGTGACCGCACTCCGGATGCAATAACACGGGTGTCATACGTCTTAGTCAGTTCATGCTGCCCTGAGGCTGGCGGTGACGGACGCCTGCCAATACTGCGCCGCCATGACGGAGTAGCGTCACTTAAACTCAGTAACCCTCTGCATGCCACGCGCCCTCTCTATTGGGTATTGACTGCTCCACAGATATTAACAGTGCGTGAACCATAACGGAAAGCCATGCATTTTGGCATGAGCTGCTTGTGCAGTTACAGAAGCTCTATCGGCAACGTTGCTTCCTTCCTTCTCTTCTTCTTTTCTCTCTTGTTACTTCACTTCTGTCCTCTTCGACTCGCATTCTTCTTTCTTCTTGCTTTACGTCGCTCCTTTCTTTCTTTCCTGCATGTTTCCTGTCTTCCCTCCACTTTTCTTCCTTTTCTGTCTCCTTCCCGTCCGATTTCCCCTTTTCCCTTTTTCTTTTCTTTCTTGTCTCATTTATTTTATCCCTCCTGTTCTTTGTTGTTTTCTTCTATGTTTCTTGTTTGCTTGTCTCCTATCCTCCATTGTTTCTCCTTTCTTTATCCTTCTTTCTCTCTTGTTCCGCTCTTCTTTCCTGTTCCATTTCGCTTTCTTCCTCTCCCCAAGATTTTTTATTTCCTCAGCCTTTTGCGCTTTGTTCCTTCATTTCTTCTTTTTTTCTACTTTCTTGTGGTGCCGTGAGAATTAGTCCACTTGGTACTGCGGCCACTACTGGCGTATTGTACGTACCTGTTCTGGATATGACAGATGATGGTGATTTTGAGGCCGTCAGCGTAATGACAATTGGCAAGGGAAACCGAAGTACTCTGAGAAAAGCTGCCTCAGTGCCACTTTGTCCACCACAAATTCCACGTGACCTGACCTGGGCTCGAACTCAGTCCGCCACAGTGGGAAGCCGGCGATTAATCGACTAAGCTATGGCAAGGCGACCTTTGTTCATTACTTCTTTTCTGTTTTTCTTTCATTCTTTCTCCTGTATCCGGATGTCGATACTCATCTTTACCACACTCTTTCTTTCACTAGTCAGGCTGGCATACTGATAACGCTCTAAGTAGGCTTCTCACGGCAGCAGGATGTCTTAACGAAACATATGGCGGTTTCTGTCTACGGGTGAATTCTGAGACCGTTGCTTCACAAATAACACATTTCCGGCTCTTTACAAATCATTAGTGTCATAATATTCATGGAATTTTATTCGACACTGTGACCTACACAGTTAAACCACGTCTGTAAACAACCTAGAGTTCGATGCACTTTTAAAGGTAAGGGCTGTGTTAAGTGATTGTAAATATAAGCGTAGAGTTGAATTCCCTGAAGAATATTTCTCATTTCGTCTGTCAGTTATCTGCCTTCACTTCTCTGTCTGCTGAAGGTATCACATTAGACGTTATTGCTACTGGCAAGGCCAATGGAGGTTTACGAAATTAATCTCCGCCGAGGAATATGTTTATAGGACACAGTTAACGGCTAACGGTAATGTAGGGCTTAGGAGTAAAACTACATCAAGGCCAAAATATAATCTACAACTTTTCATTCCTCTTTGATAAATTATAAAGTTTGAACAAAGATTAGAGCCTATTTCATAAGTTCCTATATGAGTGTGTGACTGCGTGCTTGTACATAATTTATAGTACCAAATATGTCACCGTTGTTTTCATATTATGAAATGAAAAATACGTCCCTCAGTGACGCGAATGTAACGTCGACATTTTGAGTCTCTTCAAAACATTCTGCCACAAAATCCGAGAAAATGAACCCAATGTTAATTACACATAAAACTGACATATTACATAACGAAGGATTTCACGAAACGAACTGCTGCTCTTTATTTTTAGAGCGATTAAATGAAGAAGCACCACATGGACGGGATATTGTAGCTAAGTAGGAGGAAACAAGAAATACACTCAAAATTCTGGTCATATTGCCACAAATGAAGCAACCTCTTGAGGTACCCAGGCCGAGATTGTAATATAGTACATGGTATAGTAGAGTATTGAAATATGTGTGGGAAAATCTGAATGTTACATATATGAAATTGGTTCAAATGGTTAAGTGTTTAGTTAATTGCTTTCTTAATTTATTGGGCGTAATCAGTTGTTTCGTATGACATTCATTCGTTCATTCATATCTCTGATGCTCCTTCTGGAGGATAGGACGTCAGTGAAATGCTTCATTTCACTTAAATTTCTTAATATTATAGACAGTCGGTGGGTCTCCTTGGATGAGTGGTCAGCCCGTCGCAAAGCCGCTACCTACACAGGACGACACAAACACAGAATAAACCTAGACAAACATCTATTCCTCGAATGGGATTCGAACCCATGACCCCAGTGTTCGAGCTGGTGAAGGCAGTTTATGCTTTAGACAGCGCGACCACTTTGATGGGCCATATGACAGTAGACCTAGAAAATGACATACATAGATGATAAGAACCTTCGCTTCCTCTCCAGCATTTCCACCATATACAATTATCATTTTATTCCATTAGACACCAAAACACCACTGAAGCTGATACAGCACTACAGAAGCCTAACAACCCTCGAACCAAGGGACAAGCACTTATTTTCCCTTTGTCAGCAATTTGACATCGCGCTCGTGAATTGTAGCCGTCAGGACAGCACAAGAATGCCTTGTACCAGACACTGTAACTCATCTCTTATTTGTCCAATAATTAAAGCCAATTGAGATTATCTCTTGCTGTCACCCGGCACCCTCCCCCATCTCTCTCTTTCTTCCTGTCCCCAAGAAATGCTATGGAGGCCCAGTGTTGTACTCGTTACATTGAGTCTGCCTACGCACCTAGAGCAGAGGTTAAATTTATAGCGCTTCTTACAAAGGGTAATTTGTCAGACACTGGCTGCCACATCACAGTCCTTTGTTCGTGTGAAGATCGGAACCGACATGTAAGTCCCTGGAGTGGCCTTCCCTTCTCAGACATTATTAATGCATAATTATTTATAGTATGACAGTTCACGCATCATCCTGTTGGAATAACGCTGTGTTTGGCTGCAGACATAAGTGCTGATTGTTGTAACTGCTTCTAGCTATCAACTGCCGGTAAGTACAATTCCTATTAATGAAACTACATATATTTTTATGCCTGTGTGCGTAGGATTCCATCACTTTATGTGAGAAATAAAATTAGTGAATATAAGTTCAATCAAGCTTTTAATATAGGCCCAAAATTAATGATTCTATGGAGCAGTCTTCCATGAGAAATTTATCAAGAAATTCGTCTTCTAATAGGGAACTCGAAAGTTAATTACTGTACTGTGCTCACAAAATGATCCACTGAAGTTACCCTGCTTTAGATTAGACCAGTCTACAGCATTCCAATATATTCCTTCAAGATTTGTTTCAATAGTAACCTTCCAATTACTCTGAAGTGTTCATGTTTCCAACTAAATTTTGTGAACAGTTCTCACCCCACACTCGAGATGAAAGTCCCGTTCATTTTATTCTCCTGGATTTCATCAGTAATATACAATACTGATCACAGGAAACTTTAAAATCTTTATTGCGTAGCTATTTCTGTCTTCTACTGAATTCAACCGTGGTGCTATCTAAAATTACGCTAAGAATATTTTCGGCAAAATTGGACACTGCAATACCGACTCAGGCATATTGTACATAGTCGTTTGTTGTTACAGTACTTTGTTCCTATTGGTAACTAATTCCAACTGTGACTGCTAACACACATGAAATGTAATATAAATGGTTGGCCTTTTTATATAAGAAGTGATGCTAATAAAGAGAATGTGAGAGTTTAGTCTGGTTTCAAGTGTTCAGGAAAGGATAAAATGGCGGGCACTCGTGAACATGACAGTAAGTATTCAGGCTCCGTGTAAAGCGGGGGTTTTCTTCACTACCTGATTAACTTTAATTTCGTATGAAGGACTCTGTCCCACCGATTTCGTCAATTAAAGTACTCACTTCTGACAGATCAAGAAAATCTTAAAGATTATCGAATTAATAAGCCAAATGTTTTGAAACCGTCACAGCACAGCAGAGTTGCAATCTGACATTTAACCAAGCCAAAAATCGAAGCACAAGGGAACCGCATAAAATAAAAAGATTGAAAACGAAACATCAGTTGCAACAATACAACTACCTCATAGAAGAAATCGAAAAGAAATAGAAAATAAATTAGAACCCAAGCAGTGTTCATAAGTTACTACTTGACTGCAACGATTCCTGTTAAGAACACGACAATATAAAACATCTGAGTATATTTTATAATTCTGTAGTTTTAAACTTCATTCACTCATGGTTATATTTTATACCATTTTACGAATATTTTTAAGCATCTATTAAAGAACTGTATTAGAATTTTATAAGTTTTTAATAAGTTTCAGGAAACAGTAATGACTCTCTCACAACGCTGAATGGATTGACTATGCACATAACCATATGGATCAATATAATACATATGTATATCAACTAGAACTCAATTAAATATTTTAAGATATTGCTATTAATATGTATTGCCTGATGATGGTTCTTTAGTGAGCCCAAACATCTATCCATCGAGATCAATAAACTCACTGTGAATGGTAGTATTGAGATGTGTTGTGTTGTGTCATTTAGAAAACATTTTACCTGTTATACGTATATTAGCACAACGGGACGTATTCTTTGAAGATTATCGAATTAAGATTTTCGGTAACCTGGACAAACTTCGAATTGGGTACAGCTCGGGTTTAAGTCCAGAATATTATGGCTGTACCAGCCCGTTATCTGTACGGCTGCTGCAAATTTACTTTACCGTTTTGAGGTTATGAATACAGAAATAGTGACAGGTTATACAGTACTACGCGCATTTGCACACTGTTAAATTTTCTAAGCTAACCTTCACAAAAACCCATCCATAATATTAAATTTTAAAATTTAGGACAAGAAAAATAATACATTGCTGTCTCTTGCAAGCTATAAACGATGGCGAGGGGGGGGGGAGTATGTTTCGCTCAAAAGAGGCTTCCCATTCTTGGAGTGTTATACATGCGCTTCCAGAAGAGGGTTCCCTTGAAGCTTTTGAAACATGTGTTTCCCTAAGCATATCAATAGGACCACGGTGTCTGAGGATCAAAGGTGCGTAAACACGGGGAAAGCTTGTGGCTTCTATATCATTCTATTCTACTCAGAAAATACTTTAATATAATTGAAGCAATATATTGTGGGCTGGGGAGAATGACCCAAAGAACACAAATGGAGAAGGCTTGAATGTTCCAGACTTCAATGGGATAGCACTTGTATACGATTCTGCGGTCTTCCCTTGAAATGTTGTAAATCAACTGCAACACATTCCATTTATGCACCCCCCAGGGAGTTAGTTTTGATAATAATTCTGTTTTTAAGAATTCTATAATATAAAAGAGTGTTTCCTAAACTCGGACTCGCGGAACCCCGGAGAGCTGGGAAGGACACTTCAATGAATCATCCAAGTGATCTAATTATCATGCATATCAACTTGCAAGAAAAATCTGCTTTACATAAAGAAACAAATATATCTAATAAAATCTGAGCTGCAACACCTTACCTATGATCGTCTTATTTCCAAATTGTAGTAACTTGCGCCTCGCCCTAAAGTTAGAGACTGTACAAGCGGCCTCCGTAGTCTAGAGGTAACGTTCCCACCTCATGACTCGTGGTACGCGGGTTCAAACCCGGCGGAGGTCGTGGAATTTTTAAGGGCGGAAAGGGAACAAGTCCTCCGGGAGGGACTTTAAGCCGTGGGTCCCGTGTCGTAGCTTTACGGCACGTAAAAGAACCTCATATCTCCAAAAGAGGTCACTGAGCCAAATTCAAGGACATTTCCCGCCCAACAGTAGTCTCTAACGCCTCTGATAGATGGGGGAAGCATTATAGATACCGTCAAGCCAGTAGAGGCCGAAATTGCTGGCTCGGTCGGGACTGATGGTACGCACCGATATCGGTAGGGTATAGAGACTGGTAGAATATCATAGAGGGAAGCACAATGGACCAATACTGGTCTAAGTGCATGGGGAAACCCACCCTCTCCAATAACTAACTAACTAGAGACTGTACATCAGAGTAACGCAAAACAACTGGATCAATGATTTCATATGTGGATATTAGACGGAATGAAAACTACTGGGTAGCAGCAAAACTACGATCGTTTTTATATTGTATCTATCTATCTATCTATCTATCTATCTATCTGTCTGTCTGTTTGTCTGTCGTTCTCTCTGTCTGTCTGTTTGTCTGTCTGTCGTTCTCTCTGTCTGTCTATCTATCTATCTATCTACCTATTTATCTGTCTATGGCTCTACAGCCCATGTGGGCTTTGATCGCCTTTTCAGTTTCTTAATCTATACACAGTCGATAGGACTCTTTGGAAGAGGGACCGTCCCAGGCCGCCACCTGCACACAAAATAACACAGATACAGAATATATGCAAACAGACATCCATGCCTTGAGTGGGATTCGAAATCACGACTTCAGTGTCCGAGCGAGCGAAGACGGTTGATACGTTAGACCGCGCGGCCACTGTGACTAACATGCTTGTGTCTAGGTCATAACAATTAATAAATTCTCCCGTTTTAGATCGCGCTATGTAGAACGCATTCACAATCTTCCGTCTGTACTTAGAAATATGAGACACATCGAGGAGTATTTTACGAGATCTAAGTTACTTCTGCCTCTTAATACTGTGTGGTGACGGCTGAAAGGCGGAGAGATGGAGCCAGAGCCAGACGTCCGCTGTTGAGAAACGGATCGGAAATCACGTTCGCGTCACAATGAATAGTAGCGAACGAGTCGTTGCCAGGTAACAAGTTGCTAAACACAAACAGGACAGCAGAGGAACTATTCGAGGTCGTCTCTTCTATACGGGCAGCGAGCAAATTGTAAAAGACAGCGGATTCGTGAATTGAAGAGTAGAGTGTTCCAAGTAGTAGATTCAGAGACCAGTGAGAGGTTAGTGAGAGGTTAGTGAGAGGTTCGTCAGACAGACGTCGTTCAGAAGGAGTTCAATGTGTCAGCTGCTATAATTCACTGTAATTGTAAAGAAGTACCAATGAGACCAATCATCAAATCTATAACCAATTTTTAGAATTCACGAAAACTCCTAATAAGTGACAAAATTAAAATTATCATCTTCTAGGTTGTGACGTCTTGTAGTCTGGTAAATAAGTACAGAGTTTGGGGGAAAACGTGTGCCTCCGTCTACAGGGTAGGAGTAAAGGCAACAGATTTCTCCCAAATGTTGGCATCTCCTTCCTGAACTACACGATTTCACATCACAGAAGTCCGTTCTCTCAAATTCTCTCTGAATTTAAAACTGTTGATTCCATTGTGCAGATCACAGTGGCTTCCGGTATAAGGCATGAAATATCTTCGCCCCTCGGACACTGGGATCGTGGGTTCGAATTGAACTCAAGGCATAGATGTTAGCATTTATTCTGATTGTGCATATGGTGCGACCTTGAGACGGACTGATCCCCCGTCCAATGACTCTTATCGACTGTCTAAGATTAAGAAACTGAAGTGAAACCAAACTTCTCACAGATGCAAATTTTTCTACTGTAAAATAATTAATCGTAGATCGAAGTGCGCTCGTTAGGATTGTGTGAGTCTTGAAGTTAAACCGAGATTCCACTAAACGCGAATTGTACGAACGTAGGACACAGCTTGACATAGGGCCTGAAAGGGTAAACACTGATCTAACTGTTAAATGTCTATTCAGTTATATATTTAGTTCCAATATTGTGAATTTAGTTACATCGTAACTTCTGATCCAACGAAATCTATTGTATTGGGTCTTCCACTTCAAAGTTGCTGAATTGTATATTCTGATCCAGAACAGTTCCCTGAGGGAAGGCACGTTACACTAAGCAAAAATTTTATCAATCGTTAGCCTCTTGGGAAATTAAATAACTTGAAGTCTGCAATAAACTTCTACATCCGCTATTAAGCCACTGCGTCGTATACTTTGATAATAAATAGAAAGGCTCTAAAGCTATGCATATAATTATTTCCATCGTCATTGTAATAAACGAAGAAAGATTTGCCTTTATACTCAAAGCGCTTTATAGCAA